TGTGTGTGTGTGTGTGTGTGTGTGTGTGTGTGTGTGTGTGTGTGTGTGTGTGTGTGTGTTCAGAAGGCCTATCCTCTGGTCGACAGCATTGACCCTCAGGGTTTCATCATGTATCGTCTCTTCAGAGATGCCACTCGTTACATGGAGGGCCATCACGTAAAGGTAAGATGGTTGATGAAGTTTTCTGGCAGCAGCTTTCAGCTGCACATCAAAAATACTTTTCTCTAAATATATCAGCCTTTTTGCCATTCTGCTGCCTTTCCCCTCCAGGATGTCTCCAGATGAAGTTTTGTCTGTTTTTCAGGATGTGTCATGTCTGAACCGAGACACCAGTAAGGTGATCGTGGTGGACTGTAAACGGGAGGCCTTTCAGCTTCAGCCCTTTAACGGCATTGCACTAAAAAAATGGGACGGAAACTCCGACGATCGCACGCTCTACGACCTCACCAACTTCCTGAAGGGTAAGTCTGTGAGCGAGGCTCAGGTCATGGCCACATCTGAAGAAGCTAAACTGTGCTCTTGTCTTTGTCAGCCATCGCTCTGAACAACGTGGAGGATGTACGAACAGTTCTGGAGAACTACGCTCTGGAGGACGACCCCATCGAGGCCTTCAAACGCCGACAGGCTCAACTGGCCCAGGTAGGAGCAGAAACTGAAGTCTGTAGGGTGATTTAGTCCTGGACCTTCCTGAATATGTTCTGACCAGCTGTCCTGCCCCCACCTCCTGCCCCTGTCTGTCCCAGCAGGAGGAGGAGCAGCGCCTGGCAGAGCTGTCCCTGCAGAAGAAACAAGGACTGTCCCTTGGCTCCATTGCCTCCCGTTTCTGGCGCTCTAAACAGCATTGAGGCCCCCACAAACCCACACACTTCCACCAATCACAGCCCTGAGTGGAGATGAGGGGCGGGGCCTGTGTACCATAGCTGAGCAGCCACCGGTGTCACGTGTCAAGAGGGCGGGTCGACGTGTGGGAGACAGAGGAAGGACATTGGTTGACTTCCACCATTCAGGCACAGATTACAGGGGGGGGTGTCAGTGGGCCCCTCCCTCTGTGATCTGGAGCTCACCTGATCTATTAAAGCTGCTGATTGGTTTGTGAATGTCTTGTTGTTTGAAGCTTGGAGGCTGATTCAGGACCAGCTCTGACCCCCACTCCACTCTGGTTTCTTTCCTCTTCCTGTGCGTTGAACTGACCGCTGCTGGAGGCGGAGCTTACATGATGAAGTCTGCCTGAAAGAACCAATCAGAGTTCTGATGAGCTGCAGGAAGACTCAAACATCTGGGTGGAGCCAGAGTTCATAAAGCAGTTTGAGCTTCTTTTCAGTGCTTTCTATATCTGTTCAGAGATGATGTCAGATATTTGTGATTTGTTTTGTCTGTGCTTCCTACAAACACACCAACCATTAAAACATGTTTCGTTTTTATCTGTGAGGATTCAGGCTTGGACTGAAGAACATCGCTGCAGAATTACAT